CACTGTTAGCGTAACACACCCGCTTTAAGGACACTGACTGCTATTCAATCTATAACAGTGAAAAAAGTGTTTTTTTAAATCCAAGCTATTGTGACACCAGATCTAATTGGTGGCACTGGTCACCGTATCCACTGTTAGCGTAACACACCCGCTTTAAGGACACTGACTGCTATTCAATCTATAACAGTGAAAAAAGTGTTGTTTTTAAATCCAAGCTATTGTGTCACCAGATCTAATTGGTGGCACTGGTCACCGTATCCACTGTTAGCGTAACACACCCGCTTTAAGGACACTGACTGCTATTCAATCTATAACAGTGAAAAAAGTGTTTTTTTTTTTAAATCCAAGCTTTGTGTCACCAGATCTAAGTGGTGGCACTGGTCACCGTATCCACTGTTAGCGTAACACACCCGCTTTAAGGACACTGACTGCTATTCAATCTATAACAGTGAAAAAAGTGTTTTTGTTTTTAAATCCCAGCTATTGTGACACCAGATGTAAGTGGTGGCACTGGACTCACCAGTATGCACTTAGCCTGAAGAAGCTGGCAGCAGTAGCAGACAACTGACTGCTATTCAATCTATAACAGTGAAAAAAGTTTTTTGTTTTTAAATCCAAGCTATTGTGACACCAGATGTAATTGGTGGCACTGACTGGGGAAATGGGCACTGTGAGCCTGACACAGAAGCTGGCAGCAGTGGCAGACAACTAAGTGCATTTACATTACATAGAAAAAAAAATCCAAAAAAAGCATACCCTTATCCCTAACCTAGCTATGCTTTTCCCTATCTTATGAACAGCAGCTACACTTTCCCTCCTCTTACTAAGCATGCAGCTTGAGAATGAATCTAAAATGGATGCCGTCCAGTAGGTGGGAGGGTCTGCTAGGGAGGCTGTGCTGCTAATTGGCTGGAATGTGTCTGCTGACTGTGAGGTACAGGGTCAAAGTTTACTCAATGATGACGAATAGGGGGCGGGTCGAACCGCGCATATGTTCGCCCGCCGTGGCGAACGCGAACATGCTATGTTCGCCAGGAACCGTTCGCCGGCGAACCGTTCGGTACATCACTAGTGGTAAATAAGGGAACCAGCCACGGTCACAATTGGCGCCCAACGTGGGGCTTATATTTGGAAGCTTTAATTATAAAATAATAAATACCTAGGTAACCTCTAATACGTAAGAGAAGACACAATACTTTGTCATGGCACAAGTCTTGGAATATCAAGAATCTAATGAGCTATTTGTAGTCCAGACTCAGAGAGAGATCTTCATCATGGAGAGATGATTTTAATGTGAACTTGTACAAGGCACTTTAAGTTTAGGTGCCAGGTACATTGTAATTAGCATACAATGCTGAAATTGTGGATCTTAATTAACATCATAAGAGAGCAAATATACATATTTGGTAAACTCCCTAATATTCCTAATACACCAGCACAGCATGGTCCATTAGTTCCAGGACAGTGGATTGCAGGCAGGGGGATATGTTCTCTTTGTAGCTGCTTAGTATGCATGCGCAGGAAAAAGATTAATGCAAAACGTTGTCAAAAGAAAAGTGATAAGACAGAGTGATGAAAGACTTGCTATTATATTAGTGATAGTGATAGATTTCGAAGTCTAATTCCAAGAATGCAAAGACAGACAGGATTTTAACATCCACTATTTATGAAAAGTTTTATAAAAAAATGATAATTTCCATATTGTCAGTTACGCTAGCTGTTGATTAAAAATCAGGAATTATAACAGCATAACTATTTTTGGAGTCTGGAGTTTCCAACCAAGGTTGCGGACATGTAAACATTGATTCCATTCCAAAAAGAAAGACATGGCTTTTAAAAAAATAATAATAACTGCAGCACAATGCAGTACACTGCAGCAAATATTTATGCAGAAGGATTAACGTCCACCAATTTTAAAAGAAAATTAGAACAACAATATTGTACTACTGACTGTAATCAGATCAGACACATGTAATCTCTGAATTTCATAAACTAGGTTTTCATAAAATAACATAAAATAAAATGAAATATCAAAATTGTTTATATATAAATATATCAATGTTGTTTATAAATAAATGTATATAAACTAGGAAATAAGAGCATTTGCATGCTGTCACAGAGCCAGAAACGGATTTATAAAAAAATAAAAATAAAAAGTAGGTTTCAAAAAGTCCACAGACAACCACACAAGAAGGGTGAAATAATTGCTTCTTTAAAAGCTATATGCTGCTGCATATATATATATATATATATATATATATATATATATAAATACAGATTAGGGCACAGAGTAGAAATAAAAATACAGTTTAAGTCTCATTTGTGGGGATTCAGTTCCACCACATATTCTACAATTCTGAAAGAGGCTAATTTTAATAATATGTTGTGTGACGAAATGCCTTTTGTCACTGGATTTTTAGGTGACAAGCTGCCCTTTGCCCCTGGCTGTTGGAGGAGCCTGAGTGCCAGCCTCCTGCCTCATGACTATGGCCCCATGTTGAAACGCTTAATTTTCCCCTGCAAAGACACGAAAGCCGGGTCATTCGGTGCTGACCCTGTTTGAGCGGTGATACCCCAGATAGCTATGCCATGAAGCCCATTCATATAATGAAAGACTATGGGAAAGACTTTGGCTCCATGGCAATTGAAGTGTATGTGTGTGATCTGAACGCCATTCAGTAATAATGTGCGCTCAGATCTGAGCTATCTGGGGATATGTTGAATGTACCTGTTTTATGCAATGGCTGCACAGTTATATATTTTTATGTATTTTATTGTCTTTTGCTGCCATGGGTTCAATGGAGTTTTGCCTCTGTCCTTGGAGATAATTGGATTACTTCCCAATTATCTCCAGGATAGAAGACTCTGTGGAACTGGTTTTGGGCAGAAAAGCCATGCTTCATTTGGTCACAAAGGACTTCTAACTAACTTTTGAACTAATGGAAGGATTTGCATGATTTTTGGGTATGTTTGTATTTGGGATGTGCTGATAAATAATATGTGACTTTATTTATTAATATTTTATTTATATTTATTTATTTATTAATATTGGCTGTATGGTTTTAGAGTTATGAAAGTTGGGTAAAAAGTGTGTTTTAAAATGTATGGATAATTGGGTTACCTCTCAGGCTAAGGGGAGGAGATGTGTGGGATGTAACCATTGTGCGATTGGTTGTACTGTGTCCCACCCTGTGGGATGTCCCCTTGCATGGGGACTTGCATAAAAGCCAGTATGTGGTCATTAAAAGCTGAGATCATCTTGTACCTTCATGAAGTTTCGGCTCATGTTTGGGGGATTGGAGAACTACACTCTGGGGATTGCTGTAATCACTATACTCCCCAGGGTATAATCACTAAGCTCTGCTAAGAGCTTGTTCCTGTTCCTGCTCTCTGGAATTCGGAGAGGTCGACCTACTGGAAGCTGGACCCTGGTCTTGGGTCCAGAGTGGGTGGAGACGGCGAGACCCCAACTAAGCTGCGGCAGTTTGTGTGGTCTGCAGTGGTTATGGTGTTGGGCAGAGTGCTTAGAGTCCTCGGAAAGCACTAGGAGCATCTGTCAGTGGAAGGTACCCGGTCGGGGTGCCAGCGGTTCTGTTACATGTTATAAGAGCATTGTGAATATATCTAATGCAAAATTAATGTGATATTGCAAAGCCTGAAATATTCTAAACAGACATTAAAAAAAAGAAAACTAAAAATGCATAAAGAATAATGCAGTGTCAATTAAAGTGATAATTCTCTGATATATTAACTCACATTGCATATCACATATCTGCTAAATGAAAAGTATAATTAAGGTGACTTTACTGTCCAAAGCCCCCTCACATCTATTTATAGAATCTATACTTTTCTGTGGTCACCTCCAAAGAAGCCTCTGAAACTGGGAGCTGAGAGGGGTGCTCATCTCAAAGGCATCTGATTCCAGACTTTAAAAAAAAAAATGATAGAAAAGGAATCACGGGAACACCCAGAACATGCATTTTTGTATATAATTCTAATTTGCAGATATTTTATGCCTTATAGACATATAAAGGATATTTAATTAAATATGCAGGTATCTTTAAAAACTAAGCAAGTTTAAAATAATAATAATAATAATAATAATATATATATTTATTGTTTTCACCACAATATAAACAGCTTTGTTAAACATATTTAAGTACAAGTACTTATAACAAGAAATATCCAGAATCCGTTTAGAACGGGCAGGTTTAGCATAAATGCAAAGTTGTTGTTTTGGGGGATTTATTATTGCCCAAGAAATCTCTGAACATATTCAGAATTTTTGAGAACAGCAGGTATAGATTACAGATTGCAATGGACACCAATACACTATTGCTTTGCTGATTGAGGTCAGAGCTTTAAAGAATAAATAAATAAATGTTCTATAGCTCGCTAGACCACTGGCTTTTAATGAACAGTTTGCACAACACTTACAAAATAGTTTCCTGACCATTATGCATTTACTCATGGGTTAGCTCCTCCCCTCACAGCAGAAAGGACAGGAAATAGAACTCTGAAACTGGTATAAATAGATCCTCCCCCTTCCCATCAGGCAGTCTTTTTTTCCTGTCCTGCACAGCAGTTTGGAAGGAGTCTGCTTATGCAGGCCTAGATTTTCTTTTATGCTCACCAGGCAATATTTTTGTAGCCCTGCCGGGGTTCAGCCTCTAAGCCCTGAATACCCAGCAAAGCACTATTGTAAGGTAGCCAGCCTGGGTACCCCCTTTAGTGACCGGGGGCTGGACCCAACCTCTGCATGCCAGGGTTCAGCCTCTTATCCCTGAAGACCCAGCATCAGGCCAGCTTGGGTAACCCCTCAGGGGATAAATGTGTTATACTGCCTACATGAAGCCAGGCCAGGGTTCAGCCTCTTATCCCTGAAGACCCAGCAAACAGCACATCTGTAAGAGTTGCCAGCCGGGGTTCCTCCTTTAGCAATCAGGAGTCTAACCTATCTCTCTCTCAGAAGTAATGACAGCGGTCCACGGCATACATGAGGCCCAGCCGAGTCTAAGCCTTTATCCCTAAAGACCCGATGTCTTTGAGGTGGGAGGAAGTGATTCATGGGGGGACGTCACTTCCTCCCATGCAGCCGTTAAGCAAGGACCCTGTCGCGCTGTTAAAGGGCCACAGCCCCTGCTGGAACATGCTCACTGGGTGGCCCTAAAGGTATGGGCCACCCGGTGGGCCCCCTTAGTGTGCGGTCCCCGGTGCAGCCGCAATACTAGCACCGCGGGCCCATTAGGTAGGGGAATATTTTTTTTAAATACATTTTTATTGCAGGCGATGGGGCCCACGGGGCAGCTGCTTTGGGCCCCCCATGAGTAACTGGGCCCAGGGCAGCTGCCCCGTTTGCCCCTCCTTAAAGACGGCCCTGGCTCCATCACAATTATTATACAGAGCAACATGTTTATTATCAGTGTATTGAGACACATACTACACGGTGCAGACATTTAAAGTAGATAGGTGAAAGATAATGCATCTTGGATGTAAAATCCCAAGGGCAGAGTACAGAATATTTGATAGAGTCCTAACCTCAACATACGAGGAAAGGGATTTATTGGTGATTATTTCTGATGACTTAAAGGTAGGCAGACAATGTAAAAGAGCAGCAGGAAATGCTAGCAGAATGCTTGGTTGTATAGGGAGAGGTATTAGCAGTAGAAAGAGGGAAGTGCTCATGCCATTGTACTGAACACTGGTGAGACCTCACTTGGAGTATTGTACACAGTACTGGAGACCGTATCTTCAGAAGGATATTGATACCTTAGAGAGGGTTTAGAGAAGGGCTACTAAACTGGTTCATGGATTGCAGGATAAAACTTACCAGGAAAGGTTAAAGGATCTTAACATGTATAGCTTGGAGGAAAGATGAGACGGGGGATATGATAGAAACATTTAAATACACAAAAGGAATCAACACAGTAAAGAAAGAGACTATATTTAAAAGAAGAAAAACTACCACAACAAGAGGACATAGTCTTAAATTAGAGGGACAAAGGTTTAAAAATAATATCAGGAAGTATTACTTTACTGAGAGGGTAGTGGATGCATGGAATATCCTTCCAGCTGAAGTGGTAGAGGTTACCACAGTAAAGGAGTTTAAGCATGTGTGGGATAGGCATAAGGATATCCTAACTATAAGATAAGGCCAGGGACTAATGAAAGTATTTAGAAAATTGGGCAGACTAGATGGGCCGAATGGTTTATAAAGCCAGGGACTAATGAAAGTATTTAGAAAATTGGGCAGACTAGATGGACCGAATGGTTCTTATCTGCCGTCACATTCTATGTTTCTATATTTTATTATTGTGCAATAGACAAAATATACTGTAACAGAGGTCCCTGTACGCCGGCTGATTACCTCCGCCAAAAGACCGCTTCCTTGCTGGAACAGGGGAAAAACCTCAGCGCTTCTGCCCCCAGTCGCCGTTGCTTGACTGGGGTCTTGGAGCCGAATAAGGGACTTGCTCTATCCACTCCCAGGCACTGGACGACACACAGTCGTTGGAGGTGTTGTCCTTACAACGACTTTCCCTGTTGAATCCTCCACACTGGAACAAGCTGGAGTAGTGATTAACCCTTTCCCTCCCAGTAACCAGACGACACAAAGGTCTGGGAGAACAAGCTGGAATGGTTTACTCTAGCCAAATGGCATGCATTTATACATTTCAAAGTCACAGCAAACACGCCCAGGACTCTTCAACACAAAACAGGGTAATCCCTCTGTAGGAATGCCTGGCACCCCGACTGGGTACTTCCGTTGACGGATGCTCCAAGCACTCCATAACCACCGCAGACCCAAAGAACTGCTGCAGCTTGGTTGGGGTCTCGCCGTCTTACACCCACTCTGGACCTTAGACCATCTTCCAGTAGGTAGACCTCTCTTGTAATCCAGAGAGCAGGAACAGCTCTTGCAAGAGCTAGTGATTATACTCTGGGGAGTTTAGTGATTATAGTAATCCCCAGAGTGTGGTAGTTCTCTAATCCCCCAAACATGAGCCAAGAATTCATGCAGGGTAGAACAAGTATCTTTAATGCAAGCAAGCACTCACAATTTATACATACATTTAAACCCCCATCAGCCTCATTTACATACAATTGGTTACATAGAGCACTAGAATACAAGGAAAGGTGGGGTCAGAAAATAACAAGGGCTGATGGGAGATTGAGGAGGGACAAAGCAGCTAGTTTAAACTGGTCTGGCAGTGTCCCTGGGACAACGCCCTGCTGGGGAAACAATAGGACAGGAAAAAGAGGGGAAGAGGTACATACAAGCAATACATTCTGAGAGATAATTGAGTCATTAACTGTACAAACTTAATTATCTCCAGGCGCAGAAAACACACAATTTATAAAACACCATAATATACACGTAAAATACACGAAAACCCCACAAAAGTTACATCCCCCGATAGCTCCGATCTGAGTGACCAACATATCCCCAAATCACCCAGATCGGTTCTGGGGTTTGAGATTTCCATGTAATTCCATTATTTGACCAACCACGCACATGGTCCTATGCCCAAAACAGTTCCATGAAATCAGGGCTAGCAGTCAGTCACCTTTGGTAACCTAAAAATGAATAAAATACCGAATGTAGTATCTATTTGAACCATGGAGCTTGTTCCCCTCATCCAGATGAATGAATCTTACCGAACATTGTGCTTCTAATTGTATAAAACCGAACGCAGGAGATAATGGAAGTCCAGCGGTGTTTGAGAGATTCCGTGTCCGATTTTTAGTTCCATGAACTCAACGACCAAACACCGCTGCCTGCGTTCATACGGACAAGATGGCCGCCACCTCGTGTACGTTCATACGAATTGAGGCTTGTGACGGATCACCTGGCACCCCGACTGTGAACCTCCGCCAACAGATGCTTCCTATCTGAGGCTGAGTACCATTAGCAGCGCACCGGACACCATAAGCACCGCAAACACCACAACCACTGTAGCATAACTGGAATCTTGCAGTTTTCCTTCCACCCTGGACTAGCCTCTGACATCCAGGACCGTGTGGGAAAGACCTCTCCTGCTACAAAGAGCATAGCTGGAACAGCTCTTACAAGAGCTAGTAGTGATATAGCAGTTCCCCTCCAATCACGAGACAAAGCTATGTGTTGGGGGTAAAACAGGAACTCAATTTTAATGGCGGCACACTTGCTTTTTATGCAAGTTTCCCAACAAGGGTGACACCCAGTTGGACCTTGTTGGGCACAGGGACACAAAGTGTACAAGCCAATAAAAACAATGTGACAATGAATGAGACTCCCACATACAGTACACAATCCCTCCCCTCTGCCTGCGATATAATTAAGGCAGATAATGCATTAACTTAATTATCTCCAGGCAGAAAACCCCCCACATTTTTATAAAGTACCATAACTACCCTGTAATGGACCGTTTTCGCCCACAAGAGGTTAAAAACCGTTTAGGCGATATTCCCCTTTCAGGTGCACAGACAGCTACTGCAATCACCAATCTCCCGAATTGCAAACACATGAATTCTCCAACTCCTGAACAGGAAACACACGAATACTGGAAACAGCCGAACAGGAAAAACCATATGAAAGGTTTACACTCCTGGCAGTCAGCATACAATCCATTTCCCCCAATAACGAGGTGAATCTTCGTTTTGAGGGTTAATCAGAATCTCCAGAGCTGTGGGTTTATTGTTCTTATGTACACATTCTTACACATTAGTACCACCCACAGGGTTTTGGAAAACAACCAATAAACATGTACAATACGCTCAGACACTCCCACACAAAATCCTCCCCTCTGCCTGTGATACAATTACCTTACACAATGGGTAATGCAATTATCACAGCCAGAGAAATACAGTTTTTCCACATTATTCATAACTTGAAAAGTATGCATCACTGTAAGGAAATCAAGTATAGCTGAACCACTTTGATAATTCCTCCTGCAATGCCAGCGTCTAAGGTAGTTCTAAGCAATGAAGTCCATAAGAAATATAACAGCTTCCCAAGATAATCCCCTTGGTAAAGCATACGAATTCCCAAATAACAGTCAGAGTCCAGAATCAGGATACAAGTAGATCTCAGGTCTGGAATCTCCAGCCTGCTTTTTATTAGGGTTACAGACAAGAAATACACACCCAGGGGGAGGCATTAAATCACCAATCAGGTATAGGTTACAGCCCCTACCTCCCTCCCCTCTGATAAACAGTTAACTTCATTAAAACGTGCACTATTTTACCCCAGTTCTGGATGTACCCCAAAAACAGGGGGTACACCTTTAAATTGGGCACCGCTGGATAGTTCTCATTTGTGGGGACAACATGTCAAAAAATCAGTCCATTCGGATGAATGGTTCGGGAGTTATGGAGCACTAAAGTTTTGACCGACCGCACGGATCATCTAGCCGAAAATAGTTCCATAAGTTTTGGCCCTGCGGTCGGTCTCCGTTTAGGCGAATAAAAGAGACGAAAGCCCTGCCATCCGTTCGCATCTTCGTGGTCGTTGAAATCCCCATACGAAGTTGCATGTAACTACCGAACGGCCGGTGATTCGGTCTTTCCCGTGCGAAGTTCTGGATGTATGGAGGTCTCAGCGGTGTTCGCCTGTTTGCGTATCCGATTTTAGTTCCACGCGTTGACGGGCAAACACCGCTGTTCGCACGTAAAATGGCCGCGGCCACGTGTAAAGTGCCGAAATGGCGGCCACCTAGATTTTACACGGGGAATTCGCCTGAATCCATCCGAAGGGTAGAAATTAAAGCTATATGCCGAATTCCAGCTGAATTGGGTGAATTAACTGTACAACCAAGGTAGAAATCCTGAAGAACGGAGTCATTTCTTCACACTGCTCCCCTATAAGTCCATAGGTCGGCATACCCGCCTAGACCCTGTCGGGTTGGCTTGGGGATGTCCGATGAAAGTACGTTTTTAGGTGTCCAGTTCGGTCTGGCGGGACAGTCCATCCGCATTCCCATTTTGTTTACCCGGACGGTACTGCATGGTAAAATTGTAGGGTTGGAGAGCTAAGCTCCACCGGAGTAGCCTGGGGTTGTCACCAGCTACCCGGCTGAGCCATACCAGGGGGTTGTGGTCGGTCATAAGGGTAAACGCTCGCCCATACAGATAGGGCTGAAGTTTCTTGAGGGCCCACACGAGGGCCAAGCACTCTTTTTCTACGGTGGCATAGCTGACTTCTCGGGGCAAAAGTTTACGGCTGAGGTATGCCACCGGGTGTTCCATGCCATCCGCCCCCACCTGGCTTAGCACGGCTCCCAGCCCAAACATGGAGGCATCTGTGTGGACAAGAAATTGTTTAGTGTAATCGGGTGCTGCCAACACAGGGGCCTCACTCAATGCCGCTTTGAGCTTCTGGAAAGCGTCCGTGCACTCTGGGGTCCAGGAGACCTGTTTGGGAAGGGCCTTTTTGGTAAGGTCCGTGAGGGGCTTGGCCAGGGCGCTATATTCTGGGACGAACTTTCTATAATACCCGGCCGTCCCTAAGAAAGCCAGTACCTGGGTTTTGGTCCGGGGTTGGGGCCAGTTAGCTATGGCCTCTACCTTAGCGGGCTCTGGGCGTTGTCTACCGGAGCCGACCCGGTGGCCTAGATACTGGACCTCGGCTAGGCCTACGTGACATTTGTCGGGTTTCAGTGTGAGCCCTGCGAGGTGAATTCGTTCGAGTACCCTGGACACATGACCCAGATGGTCTCCCCATGTGCGGCTATAGATGGCAATATCATCTAGATACGCACATGCGAAGTCCTGAAACCCCTCCAGGAGCCTATCCGCCATCCGCTGAAACGTAGCCGGGGCGTTCTTCATCCCAAAGGGCATAACCTTGAATTGGTATAGCCCAAAAGGGGTGACGAACGCCGACTTGGGGATGGCCGCAGGCTCCAGGGGGATCTGCCAATAACCCTTGCACAGGTCCAGGGTAGTCAAGTAGTTCCCCCCCGCCATACGATCTAAGAGCTCATCTATTCTAGGCATGGGGTAGGCATCGGTTATGGTACGGTCGTTAAGCCTCCGG